TCTGTAGGAACAAAGGATTTGGTCCATATTTGGTGTGGAGCATGCTTGGGTAAAGAGGAACCAATTTTGTATAACCCGTGGGTCTGGCCCCCCAGGGGCCTTAGGAGCGGGGCCAAATAGGGGAAACATAGCTAATTCTTTAAAATCCTTCTTCTTCTGTAGTAATAAAAGGATTTGGTCCATATTTGGTGTGGAGCATCCTTGGGTAAAGGGGAAACAATTTTGTATAAACGGTAGGTGTGGCCCCCCTGGGACATGAGGGGTGGGGCCCAATAGGGGAAATAGAGGTAAAACCTTTATAATCCTTCTTCTACCATAGGGATTAAGGGATATTATCCTAATTTAATCTGGAGCATCCTTGGGCAAAGGGACTCAATTTCGTATAAACAGCGAGTGTGGCTCCCCTAGGGGCAGAAAGGAGGGGCCCAATAGGGGAAACATAGCAAATTCTTCAAAATCCTTCTTCTTCTGTAGAAATGACAGAATTTTGTCCAAATTTGGTATGAAGCATCGGGTGAAGGGGAACCAATTTTGTATAAACAGTGTTTCTGACCCCCCTGGAGGCAGAGAGGCGGGGCCCAATAGGAGAAATAGAGATAAAACCTTTAAAATCTTTCTTCGACCATTGGGATTAAGGGATTTTATCCTTATTTAGTCTGGAGCATCATTGGGTCTTTGTATAATTGGTGGGTATGACCCCCCTAGGGGCATAGGGGTGGGGCTCTGTTTGAAGTTTGTTCTCGCTATATCTCAAGTACTGGATTGATCTTTCTGAAATTTCATATGTACTTACAGCACCTACCATCGAGTGCTATATCTTTACTTCATACCAATTATTTTAAACATATTCAGGTGAGCGATACAGGCCCTCTGGGCCTCTTGTTCATATTTATAGTTAGGCTTCAGGATTAAGCGGGATTATATAAATTATTCAACACATTTTGTATCTTTAGCAGAACCCATCAATACGAGCAAGTCATCTGCGTGCATCATCGGGAACAAACTACATTCTCAAAATTTATAATCCATTCGAGATAAAAACTTTTGTATCAGCGAAAAACATCTATGTGTGTTCCATTGAGCATAACACATGATTTTACTTATTTTTGTACTCTTTTGAGTACTTTTGAAACTGAAGAAATCATGTATTGCTTTACTCATTAATATAATATATATTATAATCATTGAAACACCTTCAATTTGTTGGTCAAGATGTTCCTCCTCAGGGCAATGTCCATATGTTTGGTATATTATTATTGATTTTCTTTTTACTTCAGTTGTGATTATGTCCACTGTCAAGACTGTTGATCTATATATTTAAATACTTAAAGAATGAATAAGCATGGAAAAAGCTTTCACCGTATTTCTTGATCAAACAATCCTTGCTCGGGAACGCTTTTACATGAAATTAAATATGTAAACTGGCAGCCGTTCCTAGAATATTAAACTCTTCAGGAATTAAACACCAACAATTTTGATCATTTTGATGCCTGATTTGTAGACTAGTTCCCAATTATTTAATCATTAAGAAATTAAACTTTAAACATTTCAATCACTTGAATGTCTGATTCTGAAGACTGGTCAAATGCAGATAAGGTTTGTAATTTTACCCAAGATTTTGGCTATTTGTAAGCCCCACCACATCCTTTCTGATGACTTGATATTGGTCCAACTCCTTTTACTGACTACATATAATGCATCATTGGCCTATCCTAAATTAAATAAACATGAGATAATTGAACTTAGGAGTATAAGTAAGTTCTCTGATGTTCTTTGGAGTTAACTGCAGGCATTATCAAAATAAGATTCTTTATTGTGAAATGCAATTACAAAACCATTCTGAGTTCAATTCTTATGTAGGACATATCATCCTTATGTAGGACATATCATCCTTATAAACGCTGATATCATTGTATTCAAATAGATAAGACTCAAACAAACACATCAGTGTCCAACACACACTTCTAGTAAAGATGTATTTTGAAGCCTGGACAGGCCTTATGTTAAATATAATACGGGATGTTTATCTTTCAATAAAGCTGAAAGTAGCTGAAAATTAGCTGTATTTGCTTTACAGTAATTTTACAAAGTCGTAAAAACCGAGTACATTAATATCAGAAAGTATATACATGAGAAAAGCATGTATGTTTTTTTCCATATCAAGATGTCCCCCGCTGAGGGCCGTAGACGTTCTAATATCTATATTTGGAAGATCAAATACTTTTGACATAGTTTAATTTCTGTTTCTAAATCACATTCAGCCATCTCTTACCAATGCGCATTGGCCATTGCCAACTGTGGTATTTGATCCATGAATTCGAATAAATGAGAAAGTGGTTTCCTGATCAGGATGGCCCCGATCAGGACCGTAGACGTTCTAATATCTATATATGGACGATAAAATACTTTAGACACAGTTTAATTGCTGTTTATGAATCACATTCAGCCATCTCTTACCTATGCCCATTGCCAACTGTGGTATTTGATGAATTAATTCGAATATAATGAGCACGTGCACATGGTTTCCTGATCAGGATGGCCCCGGTCAGGACCGTATACGCTACTAGCTATATAGTTATAGACTATACGGCTTTTAACAATTCTTGTAAGTCGGGGTTCTATTTCTCAATTATTACGACTTATCTAATGACAATATACACAGAGATCTATCTTTAGTTTATAAATGTGTATATCTATATATTGGAAAAGTTTACTTTTTTCCTGATCATGATGTCCCCAACGAGGACCGTGTTCGTTATAAGAAGTATGTTTTAAGTATTACATTGTTGATGTAAAGTCCTTTCCTATTTAAAAATCATTATATGTGACGCTAATCTTGGCCATTCGCATTGCTTACTTTGTGTAGTCGATGAATAACCACATACATTATTTCCATTTGATTTCCTGATCAGGATGGCCCCAGTCAGGACCGCATACGCTCCTAGCTATAGTTATAGATTTTACTGCTTATAACCATTCTTGTAAGTCGGGGTTCTATTTCTAAATTAAAACGACTCCTCTAATGACAATACTCACTGCGATCTACGTTTTGTTTATAAATGTATCTATGTATGCCAACAAATATGATTTTATTTCCTGATCATGATGGCCCCGCCCAGGACTGTGTACGTTATCAGATGTAGATATAGAGTATTCCATCAATGATGTAATGTATTTTCCATTTAAAAATCATTATGATGCTTCTCTTGACCGTTCGCATTGCTAGCTTTTTGTACTTGATCAATATCTACGTAAATAATTTCCATTTAAGTTCCTAATCAGGATGCCCCCGCTCAGGACCGTAGACGTTCTAATATCTATATATGGACGATAAAATACTTTAGACATAGTTTAATTTCTGTTTCTAAATCATATTCAGCCATCTCTCACCTATGCGCATTGCCAACTACATGTGGTATTTGATGAATTAATTCGAATATAATGAGCACGTGGTTTCCTGATCAGGATGGCCCCGGTCAGGACCGTATACGCTTCTAGCTATAAAGTTATAGACAATACGGCTTATATTCAGTCTTATAAATTGGGATTGTATTGCTTTATTGATACGACCCCTCTTATGATTAAAGACACTGCTACCTACATTGACAATATAAATGTTTAGATATATGGAAATATATATCTTATTTCTTGATCATGATGTCCCCGCCGAGGACCGTGTTCGTTATAAGTATATTTTAAGTATTTCATTGTTGATGTAATGTATTTTCCTATTTAAAAATCATAATGACGCTACTCTTGGCCGTTCGCATTGCTTACTTTGTGAGGTCGATGAATAATCACATACATTATTTCCATTTGATTTCCTGATCAGGATGGCCCCAGTCAGGACGGCATACGCTCCTAGCTATAGTTATAGATTTTACTGCTTATAACCATTCTTGTAAGTGGGGGTTCTATTTCTCAATTAAAATGACTCCTCTTATGACAATATACACAGCGATCTATCTTTAGTTTATAAATGTTTATATCTATATATGAGAAAAGTTCACTTTTTTTACTTTTTTTCCTGATCATGATGTCCCCGCCCAGGACCGTGTTCGTTATAAGAAGTATGTTTTAAGTATTTCATTCTTGATGTAAAGCACTTTCCTATTTAAAAATCCTTACATGTGACGCTAATCTTTAAGTTCCTGCTTAGGATCTTATACTAGTATGCAACTCGAAGATAAAATACTATAGACATAGTTTAATTTCTATTTCTCAATCATATTTACTCATCTCTTGACTCTTATAACTGTCACCTTTATGTATTTGATCCATTAATACGGATATAATGAGTACTTGATACCTTGATATGGATGTCCCTTTTACCTGTTACCGGATACGTTCCAATATCAACATATATTTAAAGAGATTGTTTTTTTCTATTCCCAAATCACCTCTCTTGACTGCAAATGCTGCCTTTATATATTTTATAAATAACTACGGATAGATTCACTATAACATATCCTGTCTGACCAGGATTTCCCTGCAAATATACACTATAACGTGGAATACAAAGATAAAATACTATAGATATAGATTAATTTGTATTTCTAAACCATCTGTACTCCTCTCTTGACTGTAAACACTGCCACCTTCGTGTATTTGATCCATCAATACGGATATAATTAGTATGATCAGGATGTCCCTGCTCAGGACTGCTAACAGCTTAGGTTATAAACTATACGGCATATAACCATTCTTATAAGTCGTGGTTCTATTTCCTCAATTAATACAACCATTTACATGACCATATACACTGAGCATTATCTTCCTTTAGTTTATAAATGTATAAATGAAAAATATCTACGTTATTTCCTGATAAGAATGTCCCAGATGAGGACCGTATACACTAAACACTATAAAATGTAGTTATAAGATATCCAACTGTTATATCATGCTCCAAGTCCGGACGAATTATCCGATCTTGACGGTCCTCACCAGCCCCGGTCCTGCTCAGCCCCGGTCCCAGCGAGAGACAGCACTAGACTTGACTATCCAAATCTCGTTTATTCTCGTCTGAGAAAACCAAAATGGCGGCGGCACTTTGTAGAACGTTTGTAGGTCTCACAAGAAGGACTGTTCTTACTCACCAAGTGAGGGTATTTTCTGATAAACCTTCCGGAGAAAGAGACATAGGCGAAAGCGGCATGCATGCTATTTTCCCTCCGGAAGAAAGTATGGAGGGGAAAGTTGGTAGGTGAATTAACAGCTCACTTGAAGTCTACTTGAAATGGGGCACGGAGTGGTCACGTTCCTATGGTTTTAGGCCACCCATGTAAAGACGGGTTGTGATAGCTTAGACTTATCCAATAGTTTTTCCAAATCAAAGTGGAAGAGTGAATCTTTACTTGCAAATCAATACTTTATAATATGTTAATTATGCACGGGATGATCCTTTAGCCATACAGTAGTAGAGGACACGTCTCAAGGTTATTTTCGGATCGATGTCGGCATGCAGTGAGCCTATGTTCGAACCAAAGATAATAATTCTTGACTCTCACAAACATTTGAATGATGTGTCAAAATGTATCAGACTTTCATACTTTCTGTGGATTCTACGACAGACTTGCAACTTTGTTTTAACCTGTCGGTGTCACACTGGCATTAATGCCATATCTTTTTCCGGTGCAAAGTAGTGAGATCAGTGAATTTTTTAGTGTCAAAAATGAGTCAGAATTTTTTCTCTAAATTAGTGAGAAATTCGTGAGACATTTAAAATATAAATTATACTGCATATAAAAAATTATTAAATCATTTGAGTAATTCTGAAGCCTCCAATTACTTTGAAAGAACCAAAATTGAAAATATATTGATATTTTAAAGGATTTTAGGGAGCTTTACACGTGACATATGAGGTGACATTACCCAAATCGGATCACCAGACCATCATTTTATTAAATCATTAAAAAATCTGAGGAGGAATTATATTCATTTATGGTTGTATCAAAAATAGAATATCAATGGGTGTACTCACAAACGAAATTAGCACCTGGGGCTCACTTGAGATATTTATAGAACGCTCTGAAGTCACCAATCATCGTCTCCGGGTTTTGCGAATGTCGGGACCCAAATCGGATCACGGTTTGAATTTTGCAGTATCGTACGCTTCAAATGAATATTTTTTGTTAGCATATTAACATTTTATGGTGACCTTTAGAATTTATATGACAAAAAGTATTTCTATAGTGTGAATTTATTCATATAGTCCAAAACAGAGTGCATAACCGTTGCACACGCCATTTTTTAAAAACGTAATCAAAACATTGACATTTGAGTTTGAATTACGTTTTCTTGCGCTATTTGAACTTAAAAACTAATTATCTGTACTCAAAAAATGGTGCATGGCTATCTTTTATAAGACTACATCATTGTGATAACTGATTTGATGACAAATAAATCAGTCGATACAATTTAAGTTGTATTTGTCATTTTAAGTGCCCTGGCAATTTATGGATCTGTTATTGTTTATCAAAATTTAAAAGAAAGTCTTGCCTCGTTAATGCCTCGCATCACTTCAAGGGATTTACCTATTCATACTCCAATTAAAACAGGGTTCAAATTTAACCAGATTTTCTACTTGCATTTTTTCGCAAGTGGTATTTTTTCTTACTTGCTAAATGAGAAAACAACTTGCAATTTGCATTTTTCCAACTTTATTAGACGTGTTAACTTAGAATTAAATTCTAAAACAACACAGTATTAACTGACATTTTAAATTATGGTCATTGGGATGTATACATGACGCAAACCTTGCTGTGAAAGGATGCTGGCCTGCTGAGGCTATTCTAAGATGTAGCATAGAAACTGCTTTTTAGTTTCTTGCTCCATATGGTAGAGTATTTGGTCTTTTCTGTCTTTGTCCCGACAACCACCATCTTGTCACAGCAGGTTTTGGGTCATACTCTCTAAGGGCAACATCAGCAACTTTGATTCGCATAAAAAAATTTGCGCTATAAATAGTAACTAAAAATAGATTACCGAAAAACATCATGCATGCAGTAAACGTCATCATTATTTGTGCAGGTACTTCCTAACGGACATGCGCACAGGACATGTATCGATTTGTAAAGACCGACCATTAGAAATGAGGATTATTCATCCCAAAATTTTCACTCGCAAAAAAATGCTGGTGTCTTAACCCTTAGGCTGCTACGCACGGCATATGCCGTTTTGAAAAGTCGGGCCGTCAGTGCTATGTCGTTTCTCGGTCTGTAGGTTTTGATCGGTAGCCAGGAAGTGTGAAGTCGGGTTGTTGCTATACCAAACCCGAACGTGTATAGTAGAAGGCTTCTGATTGGTTGTTTTGTCATTACTTTCGATATTCACGGCAGTGTACGCTAGTAATAACCAAAGGTGTGCGAGTTAATTTCAAATCGAAAAAAAACATCATAAAAATGGCGGACGTGTAGATTGAAGCGATGAATATGATGGTAAACATTTATTCTCCATCGTCACCTACGATGATAATAAAGGTTTTGAAGGGTTTGACTTGGTTGATGTGGAAATACTTCGGTGTAACATAATATGTTACTTTCCAATAAACGGCTTTGTGCCCTACGCAAACAGGAAAATATCGGCGGACCGAGGCGCACATGTCGTCTGCAGGTGAGCCCAAATTGAACATTGACATTGATACGTTTTGAGCCGATTTATTTCTTCAAACTTTTTATCGGTGATTTAATCATAAACTAGACCGTAGCTAAGATATATCTACATGCCGACTGTGACCGTAAATGTATTGAATGGCGACCTGAAACCGGTAGAAAATCACATGCAATTCTTTACGAAATACCTGAGAATCTCCGTGTAAATTACAGCGTCTTATGTCAAAAATGAAGTTTATAATCTCTGTTATGATTTGCCATTCCCATTTAAGGACAGAAATAATTTTAAAATGATCTTTCTCTTGCTTAAATCCCATTAATTAAAAGTTTAACATTTTCTTACCTATAACCACCTGTACAGGTAAATACTGAAGCAACTTTAGAATTGAAAACGTCAATATAAGCTAGAGACAACAACGAACAATTTTCATACAACTTTTTTTCACATATAACAAATATTTTCCAAGTTATGCACATTTGAAAAATCAAGTAAATTAATTTAAATTTCAATAATTAATTCAGCAGTGGTGACCCTTTACATATAAATCAATGTAGCAGCCTAAGGGTTAACATAAAATACACAATAAAATATGTATTATTGTATCTAACAAGAAAATTACATAATGAGAAATATCGTCTGCGAATAGAAATCGAAATATCGTCTGCGAATAGAAATCGAAATATAAAAGTTTATTTGTATCAAAACTGCAAATGTCTCATGATTTAGCCGTTGCTGTTTTATGTAAAGCGACACAGTTATTTAGTTACAAATATAGAGATGATTTGATTGTATTTTTTACCAAGGCCTTTTATAAACTGTATTCGGGGTGACCCACCCCAGCAGTGTTTCATTCCTCCAACCCTTTCTCACACACGTACATAGTACTCTCGTGTACATCGGGGATCTTAAACAATCGCTACAACTAACGGAGTGGTCCGTCCTGCTTTTTTTATCTAACATGGAGGACAAGGTAAACAAAGTTTTAATTGAATCTTGAAACAATCGGAATGTACGTCCCGTTCGTTAGACTTTGTCCATTCAACCTGGCGTGGATGACGAATTTCATTTTGGATTAAAATGCCCCCATCAACGAGTTTAGAGGCAGAGACGGAAACAACGGTGGGGCCCAAAAGTTTCGAGTTGTCTATATTTCCTCACTAATATTGCAGACAACAGAAAATGTCAACTCGAGTTAATATCCGGAGTGAGGTTTTACTGTATTGTTAATCATAGTGAAATAATTATTAGCCTCAAATTTACCCTGTTTCCATTGTACAAGTTATGATTAATATATAAAAAAACGATTAAACCTAAAAATAAATTGTACTCAAAATCTGTCCCGGGTGATACTGACGAGATTCTTCAATTTACATCTAGAGCCACATAAAAAAGGTTCGTACCTTTGGCGTAAGGACCACAACACAGAAGAGATCACTTCCAAAAACTACCCGGCCATCCCCTTTTAAAATCCTTTAACCAGAGACATATATACTATACTATAATTGATTGATTGATAGGTTTTACGTCAGCTTCACTACCGAGTTACTATACTATAGTGTATGTACTGGTTTTATATGCCTCTGTTTGAACCGCCCGATGTTTATTTTTTAAAACAAAACTTTTTTAAACAAAGTGTCCGATTAGAGACGTTTACGTTTCTGGTCTGATGTGCTGACAAAACAACGGTAGCTGAATCTTAAAATAAGCGCAAGTACAGATTGATTTTGATAGTTTTACGTCCGGTATTATACGTATGGCCTTACAGCATTGCAGCCTTTCAGTACGTACATGCGTGTGCTCTGGCTTTACTGAAATCGGGATGCCCAGGGGGCTAAACGTGAAGTACCGGTGAGAGGTAGTGCACCCCCGCTGAGCTAAGGCCACCCCTGATAGCGATCATGGTCATCGTAACTAACACACCGGTCTGTTCTGGTTTACATATCCAGGTAAATCAGCAAAAAGGATTTGATATAAGATGACCTCACATGTTAGGATTTACATTGTGATTTTGCTGAAGTTATCATAAAATAGTTACAACTAGAAACATAAATTTAGCTCACCTGCCCAAAGAGCAGCTGAGCTTATGCCCTGGTGCGGCGTCTGTCGTCCAGCGTCTGTCCGGCGTCCGACAACTTTCCTTTAAACAACTTCTTCTGAAGAACCATGAGGCATAGAGTCATGATATTTGGCTGGTATTTTCCTTATATGGAACCCGACAAAGTTTAAGAATAAAGCAGAATTTGACCTACTTTCAAGGTCACAGGGGTCAAATATGTAAAAACCTTCAAACAACTTCTTCTGAAATACCTAAAGGTTTAGAGACATGACAATTAGTAGGTAGCTTCCATGGAATAAGCCGAACAAAGTTTGCGAATAAAAATGGCCTTGACCTACTTTCAAGGTCACAGGGGTGAAATATGTCAAAATTTTCAAACAACTTCTGAAATACTGAAATGCCTAGTGACATTGTATTGAACTTGTAGCTTCCTCGGAAATAGTCAAACAAAGTCTGAGAATAAAAATTAGTTTGACCTACTTTCAAGGTTACAGGGGGGGTCAAATATGTCAAATGCTTCAAACGCCTTCTTCTGAAGAACTGAAAGGTATAGAATCTTTATATTTGGCTGGTGACTTCCTGAGAAAGAGCCCAACAAAGTTTGCGAATGAAAATGACGTTGACCTACTTTCAAGGTTACAGGGGGCGTCAAATATGTCAAATGCTTCAAACGCCTTCTTTTGAAGAACTGAAAGGTATAGAATCTTTATATTTGGCTGGTGGCTCCCTGGGAGAGAGCCCGACAAAGTTTGAAAACGAAAATGACCTTTACCTATACTTTCAAGGTCACATGAGTCAGATATGTCTTATGCTTAAAACGACTTATTCTGAAGAACTGAAAGTTATAGAACCTAAATATTTGGCTGGTGACTTCCTGAGAAAGAGCCCAACAAAGTTTGAGAATGAAAATGACCTTGACTTACTTTTAAGGTCACATAAGGCCGATATGTCAAACACATCAAACGACTTCTTCTGAAGAACTGGAAGGTATAGAACCTTAATATTTCGCTTGAAGCTTCCTAGAAAAGAGCCCAACAAAGTTTGCGAATGAAAATGACCTTGACCTACTTTCAAGGTCACAGGAGTCCGATATGTCTAACGCTTAGAACAACTTCTTCTGAAGAACTGGAAGGTATAGAACCTTAATATTTGGCGACTTCTGAATTAAAAGGCATAAATTTATAAAATTTGGCTGGTGACTTCCTGGGATAGAGCTCACCAAAGTTTGCGAATGAAAATGACCTCAACCTACTTTAGAGGTCACAGAGGTCAACAACATTTTAAAGGATTTGTTCTTAAGAACTAAAAGAAATGGATTCATTAGATTTGCCTGGTAGCTTTTAGAAGGAAAATGACAGTGACCTACTTACAAGGTCACAGGAAAAAATATGTCAAGCAACTTCTGAAGAAGAATCAAAAAGCATAGAATCTGATAGTTTCAACAGATGGAGCCAACAAAGTTTGCGAGGGAAATATTTTTAGTGCAATATAATATTATTTAATGAAAATATTTTGCTATGACTGCTTAAATATTCAGGAGAGCGATACAAGCACTCTTGGGCCTCTTGTCCTTTCTTTCATAGAAGTTAAAGACCGTGAGGTTTAAAAAAAAATATGTTTGTGATCAAAGACCAAATCAGTCCTAATGGTGAAAAGCCCATCATATTGTTAGCCAACAATTTCTAGTTATCTTTTATGATGAATATGACAGGATGTGATGTAAAGCTGTTCTCCAGTATTTATAGTATTATGTTGATTTTTTTTTACAGAAATGCCAGAGTCTTTTATGCCCAGTACTCTTGGTCACATGTTGGGAGAGGAGAGAGATGAAGTCTTGACTAAGTTGGGTGGTGCTAAGGCAAGTATAGGCTGCTGGCCAAGAGTTTAAAGGATTTTTTTATGTCATTTTTTCATGCAACAATATGTATAGTGATCGAGACCCTGTCTCTCTCAGTACTCAGATGATGGACAGATCTAGACCAAGTGACGCTCCATCTTTATCAACCTATACTAGTGAATATGCATATTTTGAACTTGGACAAGCTAGGTCAGATGATGTGTGCACATGATGTCACAGTGGCACAATTTATCCAATATCCTGTTCATTACATTTACCAATGTGGCACGCTCTTTACATATTTATATATTATTTGCCTAACTGTGTGTAAGTAATGACATCAACCAATATACTGTGTGGGTAAAATCATCAATCGACAAATACAGACGTCTGCAATATTTGTATATGTTCCCGCTATATTTTAAAACCATTTTGCAATGTCCGCAAGCAATCTTGTTTTGAGACACTTAGACATTGATCTTTACATTGCCATAGGGCTATTTACTGGAACTTACAGATGGATATCAACCATATTTGACTGGAAGCATCCCTAGGTGGTGGGGATTCAAATTTGTACAAATGGTAGTGCTGATCCCCCAGGGGACTGTCGACTAGATCATCTAAAAGGTTGGCCCCTATAGGTGCAGAGTTGTGGGGCCCAAAAGGGGAATTTGAGGTTTGAACCTTTAAAATCCTTCTTCAGTACCATTGGAAGGATTTTTAGGTCACCTGAGCTTTAGCTCAAGTGACCTATTGCTATCCGTCTTCGTCCGTCGTCCGTTAACATTTTACATTTTCAACTTAAGCTGAAATACTGGCAAAGGGATTTCATTAATATTTCATGGGAAGGTTACTGACATCTCCCTGACCAAGTGTTGTTATTTTTCGGGTCGATCAGAAATCCAATATGGCTGCCACGGCCGCCATTTTGAAAAACTATTTTAAACTTAAAGTCATGTTCTGCGGGGCCGATTGAATTGAAACCTGGTAGGAATGATCGACTCATGGTCCTGACACAGTGTTTTTTTCTATTCGGGTCGATCAAAAATCCAATATGGCCGCCACGGCCGCCATTTTGAAAAACTATTTCAAACTTAAAATCAAGTTCAACTGGGTGAATTGAACTGAAACTTTGTAGGAATGATCGATTCATGATCATGGTCCTGACAAAGTGTTGTTATTTTTCGGGGCGATCAGAAATCCAATATGGCCATCACGGCAGCCATTTGGAAAATCTATTTCAAACTTAAAGTCAAGTTCTACTGGGCCCATCGAACTGAAACTTTGTAGGAATGATCGACTCATGATTATGGTCTTCACAAAGTGTTGTTACCTTTCGGGTCGATCAGAAATCCAATGTGGCCATCACGGCAGCCATTTGGAAAATCTATTTCAAACTTAAAGTCAAGTTCTGCTGGGCCGATTGAACTGAAACTTTGTAGGAATGATCAACTCATGGTCTTTTTTGTACTCAAATTGGTACATATTTAAACAACAAAAATAAATACTGTAGGACTCAGGTGACCGTTTAGGCCCATGGGCCTCTTGTTAGTAATAATAATAATTTGCCACTGTTGCTTTATGATCCAGGTGAGCGATACAGGCCCTTTCGGCCTCTTGTTAACATGTCTGGTAACAGTACCTTTTGGTTACCTTGAAGTGAACAGCTGAGCAGAAAATTATAATGAGTGACATGAAAAAGTTGAATATATTGCAATTGTAATTAAGATCTCACGATGGTGGCCATAATGATCTCTCTGGGATCTTTAGTCATATGTTTAATGCTTAACATTTTTTATTTTAATTCTAGGATCATTATGACTTTGATGGACAGGTTGTAGGTGACCGAGAGGGCACAAGGGATTCCCCCATCCTTGTGAGATCCGAGAGTGACCACAGAGTTGTTGGATGTCTTTGTAAGTGAAAATCTCAGCAATCACATGAAAAAAAATTCAATGTGACCTTTGTACAGTATGCTTCAGGTGTTTTGGTACTGAAACCCTGCGAGGGCGACAGTCCCCGCTGTGATGAAGGGGATAAAAGCCCCACGAAGAAATCACCTTAGCAAAGTCGCGGGGGCCGCACAACCCGCGCGGATGAGCGTTTGGGATTAACTTGTCAATCGGCAGATAACTAACGTACTGTACATTGGATATCACTGACAGTCCAGGATGCCTGAATGCTATATTTATATGCTGTATGCACGAATATTTCATGAAATACAATATAGTAGTAGAACGTGGTACATCCGAAAAAATATCATTTACGTTCACATCAGATTATCTATTAATAATTATGAAAAATCCCATATTTTATATTAAAATTTTCACAAAATGATTGATTAAACTCACATTCTGGATGATAAATATATTTTTAAAGCACTTCATGAAAGAAAATATTCTTTCCTAAGTATTACGATACAATTGGGGTTTTTTCCCCCCAGAAAAATACTTTCAGGCTGATATTCCATTTTTCGATCCCCATGCTGTAATTAGGTTAATCAATCATCGAAATAATTAGTATAGTGATTTAAAATAATAATATCGGATTTGTAAAGGATTGAAAAGAGTTGAAACAGCAGCATAAATCTTGTAGCACTGCTGAAACAAAAGTTATGAAGGGGAGGCTCCTATGTCAATTTAACATAGCTGGAAATAGTCCCTTTTAAACAACTTCTTCTAAATAACCAAAAGGTGCAGGATGATATTAAGCCCTTAACATGCTGGGATTAAGGGCTACTAAGTTTGTTAAAATGAATGACCTTGATCTTTATTCAAAGTCACAAGGATCAAATATGTTCAAAATCTTTTGAACGACTTCTGAAGAATAACCAAAATGCCTAGGATGATGATATCTTACCGCCCTAAACATGCTAGGATGAAGGGTACCAAGTTTGTTCAAATGAATGACCTTGACTTATTTTCACAGTCACAGGGTTCAAGTATGTTTAAAACCTTTAAACAATTTCTTCTGAGTAAGCAGGAGGAGTAGGATGATGATATTTGGCCAGTAACGTGCTGTGATGAATGACTGCCAAGTTTGTTCGAATGAATAACCTTAACCTATTTTCAAGGTCATAGGGGTCAAATATGTTTAAAACTGTGAATAACTCCTTTTTTATAACCAAAAGGACCAGGGTGATGATGTTTGGCCAGTAGGATGAAGGATTACCATGTTTGCTCAAACGAAGGACCTTCACCCATTTGCAAGGTCACAGGGATCAAATATGTTGAAATCTTTAAACAACCTCTGAATAATTTAAAGATCCAAGGTAATGATATATGGCCAGACGCATGCTGGGACGGAAGGCTATAAACTCTGTTCAACTTAGTGTCCTTGTTTGACTTTCAAGGTCACATGTGTCACATGTTTAAATCTTTTAATAGATTCCTCTGGATCAAACACTGGTATTTTGCATGTAGCTGTAATTTTAGTTCACTTTTAAGATTACAAGTATAAGATTAATACCAGTTGAGCGATTCAGGCTCATTGGACCTCTTGTTCAGAATATGAGTCAAGTTCATTCATTTGAACAAACTTGGCCGCCCTTCATCCCAGCATGCTACATGTACTGGCCAAATATCATCACGTTTTTTTATGCAGAAGATTTTTTTTTTAAAAGTTTTTTAACATATTTGATCCCTGTAACCTTGAATATAGTTGCATTTGAAGGTCATTTATTTAATTAACTACTTGCATATTGACAATAATATTAGAAACTTGCCCAATCAATATCATAACAAAATAGGCCAATATGGGATAAACTAGGCCAATATCGACGAACTGGGCCGATACAGGATAAACTGGGCCGATACAGGATAAACTGGGCCATATCGATGATGCGCCAATCAAACATACGCCATATTATTCAGATCATTTAATGCTTATCAGTGATGACTACCTTCACCTTCAATAACGCTTCATTGACAACGGTAGGAGGCACGTTAGTCTAGTGGTAGGATGCCAGGCTCAGTCTGTCACATTGACCCTCTGCCTTAGGCAAATATGACAGACCTTGGCCTAATAACTGGGCAAATATGAAATTATCTGATTAGTAAAAGCATTGCCTTAAAATAAAAGCAAAAATTACTGCACTAGTAATATGAATGATTTCATTAAATAATGCTTCTGAACGATAAATGCTCTCTTCACCTATTATGAAAACAAACTGCTAAAAAGGAATTATACTTTAATAGTAATGTTTATAAAGATGAACCTAAAAATCTAATTAGCATATTGTAACTGACTTTTTCTGTTATTTATGTTACAGGTGATGATGAACAAGTCCACATTAACTACATGGTGTTAACAACTGGCATGCCCAAGAGATGCATGTGTGGATTTTGGTATAAGCTTATCGAAGCATAGAATATAAACATGCTTCAGAAGTTTTACCTCAATGTTTTGCTGTTAATCATCAAACTAGAAACAGTTAACTGATTTGCACATCTGGAGAACTACTAAAAATATGAACTTAGATGGATGTCATCTGGATATAATGACAATTGATAGTTCAGGTGTTTTAAATCATAATAGATTATAGAACTTGATTTGTGTTGTGCAGCTGATATGTGGAAGTGTGAATGAATTTGAAATATTAAAATCTTGTTCCAAGTTATATCTAGTTTTCTCATTGATAACATCTTATTTTCTTGCACAGATTTAACATTAAAGCGAACCCAAGTGTAAGAGGAATGAATCAATGTGTCTAAATTACATCAAATATTACAACACTGGAATATCAACATAAGTTTATAATATTGTACTTCATTTGTAAAACAGCTCAATAAGTATTATTGTAAGCCCACTATCTTAAGATGGTGGAATCAAATCACCATTCCTCTATGGTCCATAAGGGATCTTCCTAAAAAAGTTCCAAGTGATGCCTTGTTACGCATCAAATTTTGAGACAGATCAGAAAACCAAGATAGAAAACGGGCAGCCATCTCAAATTTTGAAAGTTAAAGTTTGTTAATGCTATTTCTCAGAAAGTATGAGAGGGATCTTTCTCAAATCCCACATGGAGGTTCCCAATGGTCACTTATTAGCTCACCTGCCCGAAGGGCAATTGAGCTTATGCCATGGTCCTGCGTCAACTTTTTACTTTAAACAACTTCTTTTCAGTAACCAAAATGCCTAGGATGATGATATTTGGCCAGTAGCATGCTGGGATCAAGGGCTACCAAATTTGTTAAAATGAATGACCTTCATAAATTTTCAAGGTCACATGGGTCAAATATGTTAAAATCTTTGTACGACTTCTGAATAATCAAGAGGCATACGGTGATGATATTTGACCTGTAACATGCTGGGATCAAAGGCTACTATGTTTGTTAAAACGAATGACCTTCATCTATTTTCAAGGTCACAGGGGTCAAAAATATTAAAAACTTTTAAACAACTTCTTCTCAACAAGAGGCCCAATGGGCCTGCATCGCTCACCTGCCCGAATATAAATCTCGCACTTGCAACCTTAAAAGTGATCTAAAATAAAGCTACAGGCAAAATATCAGTATTTATGATTAAAGTCATTCAAAAGAACCTGTTAAAAGATTTTAAAACATTTCACCCCTGTTACTTTGAAAGTCGAACAAAGTCATTATGTTGAACAAATTGTAAAGCCTTTCATCTCAGGATGCAACTTGCAAAGTATCAACATCCTGGAACCCATGGTTATTCAGAAGAGGTCGTTTAAAGATTCTAAACAAATTTGACCCCTGTGACCTTGAATATAAGTCAAACATAGTAGTCATTGATCCCAGCATGCTACTGACTAAATATCAACATCCTGAGCCTTTTGGTTATTCAGAAAAAGTTGTTTAAATATTTTGAACATATTTGCTCCTTGTAACTTTGAATATGGGTGAAGGTCATACATTTACACAAACTTGGTAGCCCTTGATCCTAGTATGCTACTGACTAAATATCACCCTGGGCATTTTGGTTATTCAGAAGAAGTTGTTTAAAGTTTTTAACATATTTGACCCCTGTGACCTTGAGTATGGGTGAAGGTCATTCATTTGAAAAAACTTTGTAGCCCTTCATCTCAGCATGCTACTGGCCAAATATCACTCTGTGCATTTTGGTTATTCAGAAGAAGTTGATTTAATGTTTTTCGCATATTTTACCCCTGTGACCTTGAACAAAGGTGAAGGTCATTCATTTGAACAAACTTTGTAGCCCTTCATCTAAGCATGCTACTGGCCAAATATCATCTCCCTGTGCATTTTGGTTATTCAGTAGAAGTCGTTTAAAGTTTTTAACATATTTGACCCCTGTGACCTTGAATATGGGTGAAGGTCATTCATTTGAACAAATGATATTTAGCCAGAAGCATGCTGAGACAAAAGGCTATAACCTCTGTTCAACTTAATGTCCTTGTTCGACTTTCAAGGTCACAGGCCTCATATGTTTACATTATTTAATAGATTCTAATGGATCAAACACAGATATTTTGCCTGTAGCGGTATATTAGTCCACTTTTAAGATTACAAGTGTGAGATGAATACCAGGTTAGCGATTCAGGCCCATTGGGCCTCTTGTTTTGCATATTGAATTTAGGGACTAATAGGAACAAGAGGCCTTAACGGTCACCCCGAGTCCTACTCAACTGAGTGGAGATAATGATGTCAATCATCACTACCAAAATTTGAGTAAAAAATAGTTAAGTATATCTTTAAGTTAAGTTTGTCAGGACAATGGGTTGATTATTCCTAGACTGAGTTTCAGTTAATTCGGCCCAGTTGAACTTTAATTTTGAAATAATTTTTCGAAATGACGGCCCTGGCTGCCATATTGGATTTCTGATCGACCTGCAAAATAACAACACTTTTTCAGGACCATGAGTTGATCATTCTACACAGTTTCAGTTAAATCGGCCCAGTAGAACTTGACTTTAAATTTGAAATAGTTTTTCAAAATGGCTGGCCCTGGCGCCCATATTCGATTTCTGATTACCCGAAAAATAACAACACTTTGTCAGGAAAATAAGTTGATTATTCCTACCAAGTTTCACTTAAATATGCCCAGTTGAACTTGACTTTAAGTTTGTAATAGTTTTTAGGTCACCTGAGACAAAGTCTCAAGTGACCTATTGCGATCGCCTTTTGTCCGTCGTCGTCCGTCGTCCGTC